AGGAGGCCGGGCTTCTCCGCGGGGCCGGGTCGCAAGGGGACTCTGGGCATCTTCCCCCCCACTCCCCCTTCCCCTTTCCCCTCCCTTCCCCTTCCCCACCCTGCCGCCCGCGGCCCCGGCCCTCGGCCCGCTCGCCCCTTCCGGGCTGGCGCTGAGCTGTCTGCGGCCGGAACGGTGTGTTGAGGCTTATTTTGGAGACGATTATAAGAAATCGTTGTTTGATCCACTAGTTACACTCGTATTGGTCCAGTTTACAGTCGGAGTATCGGGGTGTTTCTGGCTTGCATGCTTACTGCATGCGGACTGTAATCTCATCATTGTGGTAAAAACAGTAGTCCAGTGCAGGCTTAGTTTCCTACAATGTTTACAAGTTGGGGTGGTTTTTGTTTTTGTTTTTTTTTTTTTTTTAAGTCTAGTTTTAACAGTATTGGGAATTTGCTGAGGTTGTGGCAGTATAGGAATAGTACTGTTTTGTGGTTAACTAGTTCAAACACAAAATTTCTTAAAAGTGTTTACACTTCTGTGCTTTTAAATTGGTGGCATGGTTATGCTGTCAGTCTATTCTCTAAATCCTTGCTCTCTGAAGTCCTTGCTCAGACAATGAATTTGTTTTAGTTTTTTGTGGAACTTTCATCCCAAAAGTCACCCTTTTTGGTCATTCACTTTAAGTTATTGGCTGGCTTGTCTACACTACCGACCAGTGTTTGGTTAATATAGAGCCAGTAAAAGCTTATTATTTGAACTTGCATTTCTGTTTGTGGACTTTTAAAGCATCACATTATGATCTGGAATCACTGTGTCTAGTTTTCACTGCTGAAGGTTGTATGTTGTATCCATGGTACATCGTGGAGGACTTGCCATTTATCACAGAAGAAATACCGAGGAGATCTATTTTGAATGCTGTTTAAAAATGGGTATAAGGAGTTGTGAAGTTCATAATACATCACAAAGTAGCAGGTCAGCGGATTTGAGTTTTCAAGACACGAAGGTCCTGTGAGAAGGTTCTGCCCTTGAATTCTCCTTGGTTATTGGCGCTGCCGTCACGTCTGTTCAGAAGATACTTTGCAAAGTGTACTGGGTCTGGCTGGGATGGAGTTTATATTCGCAGCCTGTACGGTTCTGTCTTTTGGATTTGTGACTAAAAGAGTGTTTGCAACACAACGGTGTTTTGGCTATGGCGGAATAGTGCTGGCGCAGCATCAAGGCTTTCTCTTTTCTCCCCACTCTGCTATACCCCAGTGAGTGTGCTGGGAGGGGACACAGCCAGGACAGCTGACCCAAAGTGACCAAAGGGATATTCCATGCCATTTAACATCATGCTCATCAACAAAAACTGAGGTAGAGGAAGAAGGTGCATTTTTTTTGATCGCTTTGTTTTTTTGGAGGGAGGATGTTTTTATTGGCTTCCAAGGTGGCTGTTCAGATGCAGGTTGGACATCAGTCAGTTTGTGGGAGGTGGTGAGTGATTTCCTTTGTTACACTTTTTTCTCTCTGCTGCGTAAGCTGTTTTTATCTTGGCCTGCAAGTTTTCTTGACTTGGTTCTTTCCATTTTCTTCCCCATCCTGCTGGTGGGGTCGAGGATGGAATGATCAGCTGTGTGGGTGCTTGGCTCCTGGCCAGGTTCAGCCCACCACAAAAACAGAGAGAACAGGTGATATTTATGGAAGTTACTAAATAGGCAGTTGTTTTCAGTTTGTTGTCTTTACAAAGTGCTGATGTAGAAGTGGAGTCCATCACTTAGAGCATTTTGGCTTTGTTCTCGTTTTGTTAAGCACAGGGGGAGTGATAGTTATTGTTGCAAGTAGGTGACTTGGCATCAGGGTCTAGTGCTTTAGGCTTGTTACTGACCAAGGGCTGTTTACAAGGGGCATTCTTAACCACTTGTCGCTGGAGTGTTGGGCTCTTTTTTAAAGGGATGTAGACGTTTGCTACAGCAGCTTGTGTATGTCCTGAGAGTACTGCGCTGCGTGTTGTGAGGGGTTAGATCGTGTTGAAAAGTCAGTGCGTTAAAGTCATTTGTGTTCTTGTCTTTGAAAGGCAGTAAACACAGGGAAAATACTGAAGTTTGCTTTGTAAATTGAAGTACTCCCTGAAGTTTCTTCTTGGATATTTTTGCTCTTTCATTTGATAGTCTTCACTGTGTACATTAAGTGTGGTGCTGGACTGGTGAGTAGTGTACTCTTGTTGTGAACTTTGAAAGCAGGTGGATTTCAGAAGAATGGACACATCCTGTGATCTTGAGATGGACTTATGCATCTTTCAAGGACTCAAAAGAATCGAATTGAGAGTTTTCCCCTCGATACGCTGTCAGTCTGTTTCATTTCAACAGTCCAGTGAGGCACAATTGATGACCAAGTAACCTCATCGTGTTTTCATCATTTCCAGAAGTCAACTTAGATTTTGAATTTCTTTTGCTTCTGAAACGGGAACACAAAGATGCAGTGCATAGCATCTTGGAACGTGGAAAGAGTTCTTCATATTGTCCCAAATTGTGGGGTCGTTACATGCTTGGCTTTAATATTAGCCGCTGCTATGGATGAGCAGTGTAGCACAGTAGGTACAGTGAAGTACAGATGTCAGCCATTAATTATGTTTCATTTTCTTTCCACAGTTAAGTTGATTTTACAGAATTTATCAGGTCTTCAAAGCAGAAACAGGTAAGCTGCCAAAAGCTTAATGCTTCTCACTGAGTTTTGTGGCAAGATGGTACACGGCCTTTTTTCTCACAGACTCATGGCTGGGAACTAGGATGTGCTCTCCTGAGTACCTGTGGCTCCTGCAGTTAATAGTCTGACTACGTGAAGGAGACGACATTTTTGAACACTAAGAAAACATGTTACTGAACAGAACCGATCATAGGGTAGAGCAACTTTTCAAAGCAGTAAAGTCATTACTGTTGTTGAATTACTTCATTTTGCAATGATGTAGTTATCCTTTTTCCTTTCTCCTTTTATCAAGTAGTATTTTCTGCTATGATTGCAAGTGTCCTGTTCAGAAGTAAGCATATTTTTTTTGCTCCTTAGGACTGGGTGGAGATCTCTGGCATCCACTAACTATGCCGTGAAAGACTTAGGTGTTCTGTAGGGATCACGGACGGTGAGGATTGACTGAGGTGGATTTTGTTGCCCTTAGGGTAGGGAATATTGATAGATTGTGCACATGTGCCGGTGGAGTAGCTAACTGTTCTGACTAATCACCTTTCAGCCAGTCTTGTTTAATTTTGTTCTTGTGAACTTGTGGGTTTTTTGATACCTTCTCTCTCGATTGAGATGAGGAGGTTCCTTAAAAAGGCTCTAGCTTCTTAACACTTAAGATACTGCAATAGCTGAGTACTAAAGACGTGCTATCATGTGTACCTTTTTGTCTGCAGGTGATTTTTGCTGTGGGTTGAGCTCAGCATGGCTGTAGTCATCCGTTTACAGGGGCTTCCTGTTGTTGCGGGTCCTGCAGATATTCGTCGTTTCTTCTTGGGATTGAATATTCCAGATGGAGGTGTGCATATTATTGGAGGAGAGATTGGGGAGGCTTTTATTATATTTGCAACAGACGAAGATGCACGGCGTGCCATGAGCTGCTCGGGAGGGTTTATCAAGGACTCGCGCATAGAGCTCTTTCTCAGCAGCAAGGCAGAAATGCAGAATACCATAGAAATGAGCCGGAAACGATTTGACCGCGGGGGCCGAGAAACTATGTCTGGCTCTAGAAGAACAGGTACTAACGGTTCTGGTGCAGCCGGTGTCGGAGACATTCCACGTGTAGTCACAGCTTTTCCAAAAGGAATAAGTAAACCTGGGTACGGACCACCAAATCATCCGGAGGCCGGCTTCCACAGCAACGGCATGAGGCACAGTGATATAGGTATCCCGAAGTCAAGCTATCAGTCAATAAAGGATCCTCATCCATTTAACCCAGATGATCTTTACTTGTTTCTACGTGGTATACCTTACTCTGCAACAGAAGATGATGTACTTGCTTTCCTTTCTGGGATAGGTGTGGATGGAGTGATTCTGATAAAGCATCGCAATGGTTTAAACAATGGTGATTGCTTGGTAAAATGTGCCACGCCTGGTGATGCCTTAGAAGGACTTAAACGTCACAGACAATACATGGGTCAGAGATTTATAGAAATCAGCCCGTCCACAGAGGAATGGTGGATCGAATACGGCGGGCGGGTGGACGTGCCAGATGAAATGGATCACTTCTTCTGTGAAGACCGTTCTCCGAGAAGCTCAGGCTACATGCATTCAAGGAGGCATTCTCATTCAAGATCACCAAGGAGACAAAGAACACATTCTCGTTCATCTCCCAGCCAGGAGTATTACATACACTTAAGAAACCTATCTACTAATGTGGAGAAGAGGGATTTGAAAGATTTTTTTCCTGACCTGGATATATGCAGCAAACAAATCAAGCTTCTAACAGATAAGCATCAGAGGAGGACTCGAGATGCCTTTGTGATGTTACGGAGTGAGAGAGATTATAAGGCTGCTTTGGAATGTCATAGAAAGGTTCTTCTTAATCGTTCTGTTTACATTTTTCCAATTTCAAGAAAGTCAATGTTGAAAATAATTGATTCTTGTGAGAGGAGAAGATCACAGGACAGAGATCATCCTGGACAGTCCATACCAGAAAAAAGTTATCGGGAAGGTCATTCTGGCCCTAAGACGTGCGTTTATGTAAGGAATTTTCCATTTGATGTGTCAAAACTCGAAGTGCAAAAGTTTTTTGCAAGATTTGATATTGAGGAAGATGACATTTACTTGCTCTATGATGAAAAAGGAGTCGGGCTGGGAGAAGCATTAGTGAAGTTTAAATCTGAAGAACAAGCCATGAAAGCAGAAAGTTTAAATCGCCGGAGATTCTTGGGAACAGAGGTATTAATAAGACTTGTATCTGAAGACCAGATGCAGAAGTTTGGTGTAGCTGTGCCATTCTCTGCGCCGGATGACGTGCAGGGGTATTCGCATCCGTATGACAGAGGTGAGCATTCCCGTCCAATGGGTTCACCATCTGGGCCACCACAGGGGCCACCTATGCATTCACTTGGTCCCCCTGGGAACTTCAGGCATCCTTCTGAATTTAGGCACCCTCCTGAGGACTTTGTGTGCCCTCCTAAGGATTTTAGAGGTCCACCACCCCTCGTAGATTTTGGTGGTGATGATGAACATTTTGGCAGAATGGAGTTTGGGAATAATAAAATGGGAGGTTTTCCTGAGGGCAGATTTATGCCGGATCCAAATTTCAGTGGTGGTTCTGAACGTGTTGTTCCTATTAGATTGAAAAATTTGCCTTTTAAAGCTACTCCTAATGAGATTCTGGATTTTTTCTATGGCTACAGAGTGATACCAGAGTCAGTTTCTGTACAGTACAATGAACAAGGATTGCCTTCGGGTGATGCCATCGTTGCTATGACAAACTATGAGGAAGCTATGGCTGCTATTAATGAACTGAATGACAGGCCAATTGGTGCACGGAAAGTTAAGCTGAGCTTGCTTTAAAGGAGGAAAAGATACTCTAGAGTAAAACTTTCTAGATTTGACAATATTGATGGTTATTTTCACTTTTTTAATTACTGGAAGAGGCAGAAGAAATGGTTTCCATCAACGGTTGTAAATAATACCAAGTTCAGTGGTTTAGCTCTTGGCTGAAATACCTGTGCGGTTAAGATACGAGAACTGTATTGTGCCTACTTGTGGCAGAGAAGAGCCCAGAAACTGTGTAGGGGACACAATGAATGTCTTGCATCAAGGTATAAAGGCATGGACTTATAATCCTCTGTGTTTGTGGTTTTTTTTGTTTTTTTTTTTTTTTCCTGTTTGCTCTAATTCCATGTCCCACAACTTTGCATCAAATTAAAAATATAAGTGCTGGTTGATTAACCACACAAATGGTTCAAATAGGAGGAACTTCAGTGCTACCTGCATTAATAAATAACACTTCTTACTGAGGCTAGCTTAATGAAATTTTTAAATGACTGATTTTTTTTTGTGTAAACAATAGTTTACAGGTTTTATTTGGTTTCATGTGTTTGCAGGCATTCCTACTAAGAAAAAAGACCTACCTGTTGACATTAGTTGGCTTTGCAACTTTTTTTTAAAGTAATAAAGAAATTGCTGTTAAACGTGTGTCTTATTTAGAACTGGTGTAGCCCATGAAGGCCACAGTTACGCTCAGCATACGTGGGTCTTGGTGAGAATGGTGCTGGTGGCTTCCTCTAGGAAGAGTGAACTGTTACTGCTTATCAGCACAGCAGTGGGTAGGCAGTGTGCAAGCACTGCAGAAATCTGTATGCATTGGTTGGATAGGCTTCTGCGTTCTTGCTTACCGAGGTACCTTGAGGCAGAAGATGCATGTTGGAACTGGATCAAGAATTCTGACTTCAGCCTGAGCTTTTGGAGTGGTCTTTGTTTTATCTCCACATGCTCATAATATGAATATTAACTTGCTAATGATGTCTGGACACATTCCAGGTCAATCTGATTAGTTTTAACCAGCATCTGTCACTGGCAAACAGCTACGTTGTTTTCTTATTTAAGAAAATACATGTTTGTCAGTTTTCAGAATGCTTTGATAGTACCAGCATATTTAAATTTTGGGAAGAAATAAAAGCTAGTCTGTTTGAGGCAAAACTTCATCTTCAAAATCCATGCTTAGTAGAAAACTTTGGTTGTGTAGATAAGGACTTTGTTGATATTGCAACTGTACAAGATAGTACTTGGAGTAGTAATTTCACAAAGTTTTACTCCCCTCTCAAAACAAGACAATGAAGTTGTAAGTTGGCAATGAGAACTTTTTTAACCTTTCATCAGGCAATACCAAAACTGCATAGATTGGTAGAGCACTTGATGTTGGCAGGGACCCAGAGGTTGCTAGTCCAAGCTCCTTCTCCAAGCAGGGTCCTCTTCAAAAGGTTACTCAAGGCCTTGTCCGTTGCGCTTTTAATTGCTCTATGGACAGGGACTCCACAGCCTCTCTGGGCAGCTTGTTCCAGAGACTGATCACCCTCACCGCTGGTTAAACATTAATTACTGTGTTCTGTGTGAAGTCATCGGCATTGCTGAACTTCCATGTTCACTACTTTACGTAGAAGCAAGAAAAATCAAGAGGATTTTCAAATTCTAAACACTTGCATACCTTTTTTTGCTGTCTGGTAGGAATACACTTCAGAGACTACTGTTCTGAATATTCCTCTGAATTTAAATGGAATTAAAATAAACCCCAACAAAGTGGTCCTTTTATTTCACAGCTACTATAAAAGAGATCAAGGAACCAGAAGACCTTGCAGGGAAAATAAAGTGTTATTAAGAATCCTCAAAATAAACTTGTCTGACCAAATAATGCTGTTGAAAATTTCACTGTGATTATTTTTGTAAGCTAACATTATCTTTTATTTATATAAGCTAACAATTATGCTAATTCTTGTCTCTGTACTACCATTGGTGTTGTAAATGTGAATATAAATAATTTTCCAATTAATCAGCTTTAGATGATTTGTTGATTCTAAAGTTGTAGCTACGACACAACAGGAGATTTCAAACACTGCAAATAAATTGGTAGGCTTTTCACAATGCTTCTAGAGTACACGTACATGAATTATTTTAATGAAAAAATCTCAAGCAAGTTTGAGTAATTGCTGCTATGATAACATCAATTTTTGGGATGGTAAAATTCTTCCCACATAGTGAATACAGAAAAAAGTCATGAAGCTTATAATGACAGGGGTTATAATTAGGCATTTCCAAATTTTTTTTTTTTTTTTTTTTGGTTTTCCTTATAGGTAATGTGTTTTTAATGTGAGGCCAGATTAGAGTGTATGACTACTCTAGGTTAATCTGAAATGTCTGATTAAAACTCAGAAAAAGTGGTGTGGGTTTTTTTTAAAGGTCTGTAAAGACAAAATCTGTACTTCAACTGTACAGATGATCTGAAGCATAGGGAATTGGGAGGGGATGCCAGTGCATCAGTTCACTCTCCTGTTAACTTTAATATTATTTATCTTGCTGCTATGTTTTGGTTGGAGTTTCGTGGTTTTCCTTCCCAGCGCGGATGTGTGACCTGTCTGTACACACGTTCTGTTCGCATTCTGCCTGAAGGGGTGGCACAGGCACGTGGTGAGCTGACAGGAGTTCTTGAAAACAGGGTGTTCTAACTTCAGATGTTTCATGGTTTGGAGGCACTGTACTTCCAGTATAAGAGACAAATCAGAGGTAATCTTTAATTACATGGCTTGAATTATTGCTCTTTTAAAATATCACCCATCCAGTAAAAGATTTACCACTGAACTGCTGCATTTTTTTGTGTTTATATAAAACGTGTAATTAGTTACACTTGCTCTGAAGTTGGTTTTGCTACTGCTGTCCAAAAATTATGATGTAAAGGAGAACTGTCTCTGTCAGAAACGGTCAGTACTAGTGATGACACACAGAAGCATCTTGAGGCTTTCAGAAAAGCTGTAACATGTGACAGCATCAGGAGTACAAGAAGAGAGCCCTTAGTCCCAAAGGTGGGCCAGCATGTCCAATACGCGTGCCAAGAATGGATACAAGCAAATGGAGTAGGAAGCACACCATGAGAAAAATCTTTGTAAAAGTGCCTTTGGGTAATATTTAATTCTGTAATTACATTTGAAGTTCTGGATTTAAAATACTTTAATCAGTTATGCATTTTCCTGCATAGTTTCGAGGTCACACAGTTTCTGTCCAACATGCAAACTTAAGACATATCTGCAGGAGAAAGTTGCCCAACATGGGATTTCTCCCTTTCAGTTTTTCTGGAATTCCTAAAGTCAACTTTTTTGTGAAGTAGGGGAAGGAATTTGAAGCTGCGGAGTTAAAAGTTTGATTTCTATTTCTGTACCCTGGCTACTAATTTTTTAGTGGGTATTAATCTAAACAACTCTTCCTTTTGTATTCAGAATCCCTTTTTCAAGGCATAGTACAGAAATAATAGCTATTTGCATATATATGTATTATAGGTAAAATGGGTATAGTCATGAAGTTAACCATCTGCTGTGGAGATGCACTACATGGCTTCACTGAACATGAGATGGTGAAGTGGTCATCCTAATTCTGATGCTGTAATACAAATATTTGATTCAATATAATATTTGAAGTGCCCTAGTTGCTGAAGTAGATGGGAGTTAGTTACCTAGATAATTTTTAACTTTTGGTCATTAGTATTCTTGTCAACAGTAAATCAACAGCAGTATGTAATTCTTGAGAAAAACTATTTTCTGGGCTTAAACCAGAACCCTATATTGTCACAGTTTTCATCACGTTCATTTTTGGAAACACCTGTTTTTTTTGTCTGTCAAAACAAGTATGCATTGTGTACTTGGCATCAGCGGGCAAAGGCAGCACCAATATTAAACATGCACTTCCTCATTTATTTCCATAACCAAACCAATACTTGGTTAAAACTTAAAGGTTGTTTTCCCAGTTAAAGTTTAAATTCTAGATTTTTGTTGTGTTCTTTCTTTAGCAGATACTAAAGGTGGAGATAAACAACATGGTAGCAGCTTTCTGGTAGACAGTTGTATGTTGTTCAAAACCGAACATGCATAAGCAGTGAAACACATGAAACTTGAGCTATATGTGGCATGTCACCGAGTCTAGTATTAACTATATAAAATATCAACTAGTTTTATTATGAAGGCACTTTTATTTAAAAGCAAAGCAGCATTAAAAGTAGATAGTGGGCTAGGTCTGTAGATGTGACTGTTCTGTATGTGTAAAGGAATTAAAAGTCATCTTGGTCAAGCCTGAGGAAAACGAGAATGAGAAAACCACACCTCAGCTGCCTTCAGCCATCCCAGGTGGGTCACCAAATGTAACAGGGCTGTTGATGTAATCAGTTCCTTGAGTATTACAGTTACTTTGGGATGTATAAAACCAACTATGACAGGTATAGCTAGACAACTTACTAATTCCAAGAGGTGTATAGCTAGAGAACAAGCTAATAGTTTGGCAGAGTTGCATCAAACCCTTATGTTCCTAACTGCTTGTCAGCTTAGTGTGGTTTTTTGGACACTGTTTATGTAATTGAAGCAAGTACGACTGCAGCGTAACATCTATGCAAATACAATACAGGATTCTATTTAAATGCTTCATTTTCTGTCTAATGAAATGGTCCACTTTCAGCAGATTTTGTTCCATTGTTTGAAACAGGTCATTTGTTGTCTGGCACCCTGCTGTTAGTGCCAGCTCTTGCTCCTGTTGGAATTTTAAAAACACAGCCTCTGTGAAGTTTCTCATTAACACACAAGAGCCTTTATGTAAAGGAAATTTCTTTTTTTTCCCCCTATTAAAAAAAAAGAGACTCTTAGGACAGTTTTGTTATCTCACTTCCTTAGTAGCATCTAATTCCTCCTCCTCTTCCTCATCATCATCTTCCTCTTCTTCCTCCTCCTCCTCTTCTTCTTCCTCTTTTCTTAGCATACTGCTGGAAATCTGCTAGAACAAAAATTCAACAAAAGTAAACCATGTGTTTGTTCTCCTGAGACAAAAAGAATTCCCTGTTGGCATTTCCAGTCTATGGACTTGGCAGATTTTTTGTTTAGGGGGAGGGAGGAGGTTGTTAACCCTTCAACTTCTAGTAATGTGCACAATGCCAACAGAAAGATCCACAGAACATAAATACAATAATGGTCTTTTTTAAAGCAAAAAAACCCTGTAGTCCTGAGAACTATTATAGGATTGGGAAAACTATACATCAATGGAATTAATATTAAAAATAAGAAGGATGCAAGTCAGTGTTTTCCTGCGCTGGCTGCTGAGACAGCAGGCTCAAGATGAGCATTAAGGCTTAATCTTATCTTGAAGACCTCAAACCTCTTCAGTGAAATGAAAAACTCAGCACTATGCTGCTCTAAGTAGGTTTTGAGAATAAATAGGACAAACTGTACTAGAAGAGTCTTCTTGATTGAGGTATGAACTTTCACTGCCCATGAGTGCTTGCCCTTCAGACTGATACTGTAGGCCTTCTCTGGTTCATCGGATGTTAAAAGAGTGCCAGCTGCCAAGCTTTGATCTCCTCTGACAGATTTTGCAATCTGTACTGTTTTCTAATGAGGGTTCCATCTGATTTCTATTGAAGCTAGATTCTTTGCAGAAGATGCAACAT